GATGCTCAAGAAATCAGTTTCTTGACAAGAAACGAGTTTTCTTGTTCAAGAAACCTGTTTGATGCTCAAGAAACGGGTTTCTTGTCAAGAAACGGGTTTCTTGTCAAGAAATGGGTTTCTTGCTCAAGAAACTGCGTGTTGAACCGGACGAAAATCTTTCTTGTCCTTTCTTGTTCAATAAACCATTTTTTGTTCAATAAATTGTTTATTCTTCAATAAGCGATTCTTCAACTCCTAAAACTCCAAATAAACGGCTCAAGAAAATTTACAACAAAAGTAATAAACTCTAACACACGACCCCTCCTTTTCAAGCACAAAAAATTGAATTTTTTAACTATAAATAAATATTATTTCAACAAAATAAAATGGTGCAACATAAATCAATAATGTTGGGAATAAAAATATAATCTATTTCGATTTTTTTTATTTAACATAATAAAAAAAATTAGGTTTAGGTCAATGTACCTTTTTTCTTCTAAAAAAGGAATTCACTTGATGTGTTGGAGATGATTTTTGTTCCAGATGATTCACTTACGTGAATTTTGGGAAGATGAGAATTTTTTTTTTTTTTTTACAGAGACGTGAGCGCGAGCGAGAAAGAAAGAAGAGGAGAGAAGGAAGAGAGAAAGAAGAGAGAAGAGAGGCGATCCACCTTTTTCAGATTTTTTTTTTTTTTAATATCTTTGGTAGGTAAATAATAAGTAAGGGTAGAATTGTACTTTTAAGTGCTAAAATGGCTAGATTTCATTGTTTTACAAAAAGTGGCTATATTTCATTTTTTACTTCAAAAAATGGCTAGAAAACCGCCCAACTGAAATTATTACCCACTACTTACCGTGATAAACATGGAAAAAGAAATGAAAAATGCTACATTGTCAACTTAGTGTACAACTAGGTTGACAACACAAGTGTAAACATCCACTTGTGTATTTTTTTATTTTTAATTTTATGAGTGTTTACACTTGTGTTGTCAACCTAGTTGTACACTAGGTTGGTTATGTAGCATTACTCAAAAGAAATTGAATTCCACACAATAGCTTGGAGCCAAAGAAACAGAGTACAAGGGCCGGTTTATTTATATATAAGCACTTTGGGCTGGTTTATCTACCAAAAACACAAGCACCTCAACATTTAAAATTGGCAGCTCATTGTCAAACTTTTCAACATTTAAAACTGGCAGCTCAGTTGGCTATGCAGCTTTTCAATTTTTTTCTCATTGTCAGACTCTGGCAGCTCCATTTGAGCAGTTGCAACCTAACTCCTTTGACTTTTTTTCCTGGAAGCAGTACATGGGTGTACCTGATTGGTAGCAATTCCATGCTTTAGAAACTACTTCAGATATCCCATCTTTTTTGAGCCATCTGTTATCGAAGAAGAATCTTTTCTTGGCCTTTCTAACCACAGGTGAGGAATTCAAGCACAACTGGTTGTGGTCAGAGGAGCTTTTGGATTCATTTTGCACTGTTGAATTTGGATATAGTGTGAGCCAGCTCAGTGAGCAAAAGACTCTGTCTAATTGTTCCTCAACATATCCTTCCCCTTGCCTGTTGCTCTCCCATGTGTATTTGTGCCCTTGTAGCTCGATGTCATGCATTCCCATTAGAGATATAAAGCCATTGAATACACTGAATGAGGATAGCCCCCTTGGAGTTCCACCTTTTTTTTTCTTCAGGGCAGGTGATCTCGTTCCAGCCGCCACCAATGAACCAGTAATCTCCCCATCTTTGTTGGGCATCAAGAAGGAATTGCCGTTGCTCTCTTCTTCTCTGCTGGTTAGTGCTAGCATAGATAAAGGATCACCAGCAGGTTTTATTCTTGTCTTCATCCCAGTATTCAACCTGGATGCAGAAATCTGATTTGATGATTTGGAATATATGGATGTCTGCATTCCAGATGAGCAACAACCCACCACTTTTTCCCACTGGGTCTATAGCACTCCAGTTGTTGCCTACTCCAAGTTTCGTGCATACTGTATTTACAATTTTTTCTTTTTTTTTTTTCGTTTCTGAGAAAAAAGCAAAAGAGGGGTGGTGGAATCTCCATGACTCCTTGACCTGGGAAATTGTAGAGGCCCCACCCAGGCCTCTACAATTCCACAGGGTTGTCTTTATTGATCAGGGTGAGGCCATTTGGGGCTGGCTACCTCCACCCTTGAATCAGATACCTTCTGCTTTTTTTTTTTTTTTTTGCCTGATGCTAGTAGCTCTATTTGGTTGAGGTCTTGATGTGGAATAGAAGGTTCAATGATGCTGAGTTGTCTTTTGTTTCTTGTAGTTCTGGTAGGGGTTTTATCTTTTGGGGGGTCAAGAGTTTTGGCTTTCCTTCTTCATTTTTTAATATTGGTGGGTTGGTCTTTGGTTTCTTGGGTGGGTTCTGATTGGGGAAGAGAGTAAGGGTTGGGGTGAGGATATTAGGGTGAGTTGCATTTTTGTGTCTATTGGTTCAACATGTGCGATCTAGTTTTGTAAAATGTTATACACTTTTATGGAAATGGTTCAAATGATTGTTTATAAAGTATAATATCTCAACTTAAAAATAAAGTTTAAATGGTTGTTTCTAAAATGTAACATATCTAAATTACAAATATGTATACTTGTAACCACAACCAACTAGGTTATAAATAAATCAAATATTTTTCGATTCGATTCGTGATTCATATTTGTAAAAATTCGGATTCAAATAAGAATAATGTTTAGTATTCAAAATTTATTTGAATCTGAAACTGAATATGCACATATTTATTTCGAGATTATGGAGTATTCGATTCGCTAATAATAATAATTATATAATTTAATATATTATATATAATATAAGGTTTTACATACATAATATACATACAAATATATTAAATATAAAACACCAAAAATATATATATTTATATTTAAAAACATATAAAATATTCATCAATATAATATATGTATATATATAAAACTATCTAATATGTTCAAATACGAATCATAAATTAAATTTAATAACGAATACGAATAGTCGAATATGATAACGAATTCAAATCGAATAGTAGCGTATTCGCTTTAGTTCGATTCGTTTACAACCTAGCCAGCTTTGGTTGTTGATACCGTAACAAGTTTATAGCATAAAACAAAATATACATACATCTTCAGGAAAGAAACATATCAAATTTGATGGATGTAATGACGTTGCAAGACTTTGGCACCATGTCTTAAATAACCCGCCAACTGAGATGAATGAATTTAGGATAAAACCAATCACTAGCTTTCTCACCTCTAAATTTGGCCCCATCAACAAGTTTTTGGTGATTGAATAACATATCATCAAGTTGATCTTTCAGACAAAAGAGGCTCTTCCAAATCAATTATGCGAGAGGACAATGTTGCTTCGTCGTCTTGCCCCTGCTTTTGGCTAATCAATATCTCATCTTTCTTCTCCTTATACTCTTTAGCTTTGCCCCATAGAACAACGTATAATCCAATTATCACCGCAACTGCTCCTATCGTGCTAAAATTTCATGGGAAAACAAGAAAGTTTTAAAAATAAAAATCAACACACACACATTAATTGCAAACAAATCACACTTATATTTACGTTCATTATATTTTTATCTTTTGTAACAAAATTATGCAATTACATTCCATTGAGCGCCCACTTGACTTAACGAAGCAAACGTGCTTTTTTTAAACTTAAGAACCGAAGGCTCTTTTTTTCTGTTTTTCTTTCATTTCTTTTCCCCAACATTCTTGACATTAGAGATGATAAATATATAGTTGAAAACTAGTGAAAAGGAGGAGGGGAATATAGTTATAGTTGTTAGTAAAGCAGTTGTTAATGGTTGTACTTCACCTTCCAGTGTACAACTCCTCATGCATAAAAATGAAAGCAAAGACTGTGACAATGACTGTACTCAGAGGATTGAACATAGCACAGAAGACAGGGCCTCTAACTGCAATGGACCATGTTTGAGCAAAGAATGTGGCTGCCGATGCCAGACCCTATAATATATGCATCAAAATATTATTATTGTTCATTAACTTTTATACATTTTTTTTTTTTTTTTCACAATAAGAAGAAGAAAAGTTGTAACTTAAAATAGAGCAAGTAATTAACAAGCCACTCACAACGTAAAAGCAGCAAAATAGTTGGAATGGGGAATCCAATATCCAGGATTTCAGGTTCGGCTCGACTATCAGTGTAAAAACTCCAGATTGCACGGCTGCCATCAGACACATCCACGCCGTCAGCGAAAGGTGGTCAGGGTAACAAGCGCTTACATGGACCTGCCGACAAGTATATATATAAATAAGCGATTGAAAAATAAGAATAATCAACTTGTTTATTTTGCATAAAGAAACCATAAATCTAGAGATTTGATGACGACGATGATGATGATAACAACAACCAACAGTTCTTAGATTGAAAAGTTACAAAAATCATGTCCAAGCAATACCTGCAAAATTAGCCAGAGGGCCCAACAAAAAGCATTTCCAAAAAGAAATAAACAGCCTATCAACCATGTGTCCTGCCCAATTGACCCTCCTCCTGCCACAATTGATTTTCTTGGCATAAATTCCATGTTAACTAATTTTGGACCTTTCCATAGTGCCATGGCAGTAGCACCCGTCACACATAACACCGTTCCCACGATCTTAGCCATACTTCTCAGGCTTCGAAAACGAACTTTTTCCAAGCTGTTGATCCACAAAAAACACACAAGAATTTAGTTAAACCACATCTTTAATCTGCTTTTTTTTCTAATTAAATATTGACTACCCCAGTGCACAAGCCATGATAAAAGTAATGGCTGGGATCAAGTTGCCCAATGCACTTGCAGCTGTTGAATTTGCCAAGTACAAACCCTCATAATACATGTTCTGATTTAGAGTCACTCTGCCCATAGGAAATCCCAATATTAATTAGTATAATGGAAACAAACTCATTTATTTTATACACAAACAAATGTATGAAAGTTTAGGACTTGCCCTATAAGTGACAGCATAAAAATCAACCAGAAGCTTTTCCACCCCAGCTGCCATTCTTTTGTTCCTCTCCTGCATCCATCCTCGTAGTATGAAGATATGAAAAATCTTTAAAAAAAAAGGCCAATTTTGATATATAATTGTACATTAATTCATAGAGTTTAATATAACTAATGAATAATATTCTGATAAAGACAAGAAGAAATTTAAAGGAACAATTTATGTATGTACCTTGAGAAATAAGCAATAGGAGCAATGAGAAAGAAGGCAATACACTGGCGATAGACAACAAAGACCCTTGAACTCATCCCTTGCAAAAGTGCAGCTCGTCCACTTAGATTAACTCCAGCATACAATAATTGACAACCCACCATTACTATTATCGCTTTGTAATTTTGCCAACCCATTTTTCTCTGTTTTCTTTTTTTTTTT